AAATATGCAACAACCCGCTCTGTGGCAAAACATCCTGTTGGTAAATATCAAATCTAAAGGCTCTTGGAGCCCACCAGAAAGCATTTTGAAATGTGGCTGTTTTCAGATGCGTTCACTGCCTTCTGCAGAGTGCTCTGAGCACCAGGAGCTGTTTGTTTGACAATATATTTATTAAATTGAATTTATGTGATTAGCCATTCTTCTGAAGAGTTCTGATTTATACAGTCAGAGTTGTGGCTTACAAAACACAGAAATCCTTAAACTCAATTAACCCACCCTTTGCACAAAATATAATATATGACAAGGAGTTGTTTGCCTTAAAAACCCACATAATTCTGTGCCTTACAATCTTGGACATTAAATACTGAGCCATCAGGCATTTCTCCTTGCTGTGTGATGGTGACACTAACGAAGTGACATTAATGATCTCCCTCATCTCCAAACAGGTGTCGAGGTGGGGCCCCAGCCACAAGGTGTTGCTAGAGCTGATGTTTTGGACAAAATGAGGAAGATTGTCAAACATGGCCTTGATTTTGTGCAACTTTTTAATGAAGGTAATGAGAGATTACAGCATCCTGTGTCATGTCACTGGGCTGTTTTAGGAGAATATTTTTAAAAATGGGTTGGGCTATAACATTTTACAGTTAAACAAGTAAAAGGTGGAGGGAAGAATTAAAAAATTAAAGTCTGACCTGTGCACTGCCTAAAAGACACTCTGACAAAATAAGTGTTCTTAATTTTTTCAGAGTATATTTTGTCAGTGTGTTGGGAGTTTTTTGAAATAGAAAGAAAATAATGCAGTTATACATGTCAGAATTTCCATTGAATACCATGGAATAGTAAAGATTAAATACCACTGATACCACTCTGTGCTGTGCAACACTAGCAAACAGACCTTTCATTGATTTCCTCATCTACAAAATAGGTCTTTTTAAGTGAAAAGTAACATTTCAGTAGCAAATTTAGATTTGAACTTCATATGCCCCAATACATGACTGGACTATATTTCTACAACTTGGCTTCAAGGGGACAACCTGATGATTTGAGCCATTTTACAGAGAATAAATAATGCAGTGTTCTTTTTAACAGGCAGTTTTTCATCTTGACATGAAATTACATTTATTCTTTCTAGGCAAGGAATTTCCACCATGCACAGTCGAGGTTTTTAAAATAATGGAGAAAGTAGATTATCCCAGGAATAAGAATGGTGAAATTATTGCAATAATTCATCCTCAACTACAGGTAAATTCTAGAATAGTTTCCTTTTGTGACATTTTCTACTTATTCCTGTGTTGCTTCTGCTATATTGTTGTATATTTTAGTAATAAATATTTAAAATGCCAATATTGCCAATGGGTTTTATTGAATACTTTAGACCTCCCCTAGGGTTAGGTTCTCTCACTAAGGTCATACATTCATTATTTCAGGAACTGTCTTGGGAATCACTGACTCTAAAATGACTACAAAGAAAAAGACAATAGCATAGCTTATAGTTTAGAATACAAACCTAATTTTTAATTCTAAAATGAGTGTCTGTTTTCAATCAATTGTGAGCATCTGCAGTTTCCTTCTAGTTCACTTTACCAGTGAATTCTGAAAATGAGGGCCAGACACACAAAATTATGTATTAAGATTAGAAGGAATTATTTTGAAAGCTTTTGCCATAAGCTGCAGAAATTAGCCTAATTAGCATTAACTCAAGAATCACATAAAATATACAAAAACCTGAAAGTAAATATATTCTATTTATTTTCTTTCCCCCAGGATCAAGACTGGCAGCCACTGAAGAATGGTGATCCTCTATTTTTGACTCTTGATGGAGAAGTAATTCCCTATCAGGGGAACTGTACAGTCTATCCAACATTTATTAATGAAGCTGCATATTATGAAAAGAAACAAGCTTTTGTAAAAACAGAGAAAATCAAACTCACTGCAAAACACCTCAGGTTGCCAGTCTCAGAGCAGAGCACTTCTTAAGAGCTTGTTACAGATTTTTTCATATAAAAAGTGGGTTTGTTTGTGAAGTCCAGGGTCATTCAGTAGTAACTTGTGGAATAAATAAATGCAGAAACTAATTTTAAGTTGTAATTTAATTAACCTTGCTGGGCACTTTGAGATCTATTGTCATAATGCTGATTATGACTCTGTTTATTGTTCTAATAGACTCCTATAATGCAAAGAATTTTTAAATATTTTTATGAAGTTTTTATGACGCTCATCCACAGTACTACATTATATACAAAAACTACAGCTTTTCTACTTCTTAACCCCAAACCTTAATAGCCAACACTTTTTACAATGGGCTGATCCATGAAATTAATTCCTCAGGTAAACACAAAATGTGAGACAAAGGAAAAGCTGGACAGAGAGAAACAAGGGGAGAGTGTTAATAAATGATATTATCAGCATATCTGACTGACCCCCACTGTGAAGTGGAAGCCTTGGGGTTTATTTTGTTTCCATACTTACAAACAAACTAAAAACAGGATTTCAGAGAAATATACTCTAAAAAGCTTTACATTTCATTTTAGTGTATTTCACAATTAATTCAAGCTGCTTCTGATTTAAGGTAAGATTTAGGAGTTTCAATGAAGAGCAGTGCACAAACCATACCTGACTATTCCAGAATGGAAATTAAGAAGAATTCCACATGGAGAGACTTGTTCTGTATCTGTAGAGACAAAGCCTGTCATAACATCTTGAGAAAAAAAATGGGGGGTTAATTAATTTTCTAATGTTTTTTACATATTTGACAAGTTGGTGATAAACATTAATGTAACCTTATGCAAAGTTCTTAATTATTTACTGAAAGTTTAATTGTCCAGATAACTGTCATATCTTACCTTTGAAAAGTGATGCCATCTTCATTTACTACTAAATTTAAAGGGTTTTTTTCCCCTGCCTTTGTGTAACTCTTAAGGCATTAAAATTAAAAAAAAAAAAAAAAAAAAAAAAAAATCTAACACAGGGCAGAATGTTGATTGAATGCCAAGTTTTATTTCCTTAATTTAAATAAACATGGTATAAAAAGCACAGAATTACCTGCTCTAGTCATTATTCAGAGTTTCCTTGGTAAAAGCCTGGAGACAGCACACGGTTGATGTGAGGTGGCCGAGCTCTGTGGCCACACAAGGAGGGCATTTCCTCAGGGAGAGCTTTTACAAACAACCCTCATCTCGTTCCTGAGTTCATCCACACGGTTTGGGACCTGGGCAGTGGCACAGCAGTAGGGATTTTTGTTGGGTTTTTGTAGAGTTTTTTGCAGGGATTTTTGTAGGGTTTTTTTATGCCTTCCCTGTTTCCCAGCACAGAGATCTCTGTGTTTCCAGTGGCCACAGCCTCATGGCCCAGCCTGGTTCCCGAGTGTGTGTCAAGAGGTATTTTTTTTTTTTTCCCCTTTGTACAAAAACTGGCACTGAAAGGATCCAAGCAGACCTGTGCAGTCCTGAAGCAAAGTCCTTCTCTGGCACCTTTGGTGCAGAACGAACCAGCAAAGACCAAGGATTGTGAAACTGCAGGAACTTTTCTTCTCATGCTCACATCTCCTGCTGAGAAAGCCAAGCAGTGCCGGGTGTGACATGGACTGTGGGCACACAAATGTCCTTCCCCTGCAATCCCTGTGCCCTGCCAGGACACAGCTGAGGTTTCCTGTGGATCCATCCAGGCCACGGTTGGAAATTCGGGACACAGCGTCTGTCAGAGGCTGGCTGGGCAGCAGGGCCCACATTCACCAGCCTTGTAAATATTTTGCATTATCCTTCCCACTGCAGGGCTCCCTCATGCTCTCTTCTGTCTTAAGAAAGTCTTTTGGATCATTTTGCCCACAGCTGCAAAATCCAATGCAATTCTTATTATCATTCAAACACAGAACTGAGTTCCCCTGAGTCTCACCTAAAACAGCACCTTTAAACAGGCACCACATGAATGATTCTGATGAAAAGCCATGACACTGGAGACATGCGTTCATTGAAATTTAAAAGTAAACAGAACAAATGTTTCTCCTTATATATACACACATAAAATAGAAATCTAAAAATATAATTCATAATATTTGGTCATCACAGTAGTGAAAAAAGAGCTACAGAAATGCATTACAGAGTCCTCTGAATAAAAAAATGTCTGGAATTGCATTGCACTGAACTAATTTTGTTCACCTTGGGAAGAAATACTGACTTCTGATTTTTCTGAAGTGGTTGAATGCAAAAATTAATTCAGAAGAGCTTCCAGTGTCATAAGTTTTTATGTAGGAAGATGCAACAGCATGGAAAAGCCAAGGATGAAAAGTAATGTTGTGACTGAAGCAAACCTCCTCCATCAGGAATTGTATTTCTGCCCTGTTATTTCATGGGGAGGCACAGACACACAGTAATAAATAAACAGCAATAAACTCCAATTACACCCTGGGGACTGCACAGAGTAAAACAGATCAGGCAAAGCCCCTGGGACCTGAGGAGGCTTTTTCCAACTTATGGGACCAAGCCTCCAGTAACACTGACAGTCAATGCAAAAGCTGCAAAGGTACCCAGAGCCTTGTTATTTCAAATTAACATACTTCATGTAGTCATTGTCAGAACTGAAATGCTTTGCTTTCCTCCACAACAAGAACTTTTTTTTTTCCAGTGTACAAAATGAGTTTCTCATGAGTTAGAGATTCCAAAAACCAAGAGATTGGGGATCAAGATGACCCTAATTTTCCACAAAAAGAAGAAATATCTCACATTTGACCTTTTTTATCCAGTTAAACATCTCAAGCCAAGTTTGAGGAACATCAGGCAAACTTGGACAGCGACAGTTTGAAAGGCTCAGAAGTGACCCAGTGAAATAATCCCATTTATTTCAGCTCAGCTGCTCTGAATAAATGGGTTCAATCCATCAGACTGTGTCACTGAAAGTTTGTGTGTTCCAGCTGGCTACAGCTGTCCAAAACAGCCACAAAGCTTTCAGCATCCACTGCTGATGCTTTTAACCTTCAGAAGAGCCACAGGTCAAGCACAGCACAACTAAACAGAAGTTTCAGGCAAATCATCCATTTCTTCAAACGTATTCAGGGTGTTTTTGCTATTAGTTCTTGAATTATCTTGAATTTTGCTTGGATCTGCAAAAAAATGCATTGTAAACATAACAGGATATGGTAGAAACTGTATAGGTAAGATCATACTTTTGCACCTTTGTTTTTTCTTGTTAAAAACATGTATTTTATTTAAACAGCAAGCTCAGTTTGCTACCATATCTTCTACAGAAATTTTTCACCCCAGAGGGAGCTCATTTCTCCAGGACACTCCTGCCCTGGCAGCAGATGGATGTCTTGGATTTCCTGGCCAACACTGATGTCATCCAGTACATATGTTACAAAACTTGTTTGTCACCAAACCTCTCTACAAGTCTTTAAAAGTAATTTAACACCATTGCCATATTAACCATGAGTTTCTCTAGCAATAATGTGTGGTTTAATATGAGAGTTTATATTTTTGAACGGTATAAAAACTGTATCAAAAAGCATTTCTAAGAAGAAAAGATTCTGCAAATAGGGTGTCATAAAATTCCACAGTACCTGTTGGCCCTGGATCTTCATTAATAAATGAAACATGGGTTTTCCACTCGGTCCATTTCACTTCATTAATCCTGTTTGCATTGCACATAAATTGTGTTATCACCATGCATCATCCCCCAGCTACATCCCTGATCTTCCCCCTTTATTCCTTCCTGGGATTGTCACACTTTACCACCTGCTTTGCTGGCACTAAAAGCCTGAATGTCTTTTGCACTGTCAAGCACTATATGAAGGTGAGAATAATACCAAGACTACATCATAATTTCACACATTGTTAGTACAGTCTTGAAATATTTAAGTATTTTTCATTAAACAGCACAGTTCTTTAATATGGTAATCATCAATTACCAATCAACTTAACCGTGGTGGCTTTTAAGCTGACATTCAAAGGAGATTATGATAAAGTGACATTTACTGCAAGCAGATTTGATGCTTCTACAGTAAAAACATATGAAGATGAAAATCTGCTTTCTTACTAAATATGCATCTAGCACAATTTTTAGAGATAATAGAAATATTTTTTAAAGGGTTTTGAGGAGAAATAGCCTTGAAGCAGCATAAAGAGAGCAGACTTGATAGCACATTATTCCAGCTTTGCTTTACCTTAAACACACCCTGGTGTCATTTTCAGCCACTTTACACCGTTCTCCCAGCTGGAATTTTTTCCTCAGGCATTTTGGTAAGAATTTTTCAAATTCCAAAATAGTCCTGGCTCTCTGTTGGCAGTAAATAGTAAAATGGTTAGCCTTAGCCTGATTTCACAGCATGCACAGTTTGCAGTTCATAACAGGTCAAGCCTCCACCCACAGCCAACACCAAAAACAGCAAATCACTGACAATAGGGATTCAGATTCCTAGAAAAATAGTGAAACACATCATCCTGTGACATATCCAGGGGAATGAAAGCCATGACAGTGCATAGGTTGGAAATCCAAGCCATGATATCACCTTTAGGATTGTTAATTCCAAAGTTATTACAATTCTCTCATTCTGGAATTATTTATTTCTATTATTCACACACAAAACTAAATGAAGATTATCTTTAACACTTTAGCTGTCGTGTCAGCATGAGGGTTTTAGCCCAAGCACCTCCTAAACCAACCTGGAGTTTCCAGATGTGCTCACTCTCCTTAGAAATATCCTCCACGGTTTCTCCCATTAATGCAATCAGCATGTTCAAGAGAAGAACAAACGTCAGCACGACGAAAGTTATGAGGAGCAGGAGAAACAGGACAGGGTACTTGGAGTTCTGCTGGATCTCCAGGTCCCCCAGTCCAAGGGTGAGCTTGAAAAGATCCATCAGGACGGGTCCCAGGCTGCTGTTGGAACGGCATTCCCCACCCTCCTGGCACGTCTCGATCAGGGCAGCGAGAGCTGAGAGGGAAGCACAAGGAAATTTCAGTCATTATTTAGGAGTACAGGGCATTTCACCCCAAAGAATTCAAACTGCTTAAGAGAGCCAGAGCTGCCCAGCCACACAGAGCAGGCAGGTGACAGTTCCAGGAAGCAGAAGGAGCCCACATCCAAACGAAATTCCGAGGATTTGAGACCAAGGCTCATCTGCTCACATCTAAACTTAACATCCAGAAGAAACCCCAGCATGAGCTCTCATGAAAATAGGCTTCTTATTCATAAGAATGCTAAAACTTTTACTCACACAGAGCATCAGTGCTTTTCTCCAGTAATATTTACCTACGCCAAATCCCAGCAAAAACACGATATAGACAACTAAAAACTTTATCACATCTTGCAGGATGACCTGAAAATGGAATGAAACAGTTGACAAATTAAAATTCAGAACTAGTTCTGTGCATTTGAATTCTGAAGGGATACAGGTGAGGCACACACTAAAGCATCACACTGCTTTCCTTGAGCAAACAAACCCAAAGGTCTGATTTTTTTATCTCAAATTTGGTGTGTTCTCTGAGAGTGACTAATTCTGTACAGTACAGACATTACAGATAATGATGCAATTAAACTGCAGAACTATATTAGCTGGAAAAAACACGAGCTACTCACATATTTAATGTAATAAAAATGTCAATATTAAGATACAAACTAGTTCCTGCTGTTGCAGAAGGACAAATTGTGTGTTCTGCTGAAACAATGCATAAAAACTGGAAATAAGACATTTCAAAACAATTTATAAGGTACATATAACTGTTGAATATACTCGATATGAATTATAGAACAATAGGGTTATCATCAGGCAGGTAAAACAAAAGAAAAACTTGCCTTTTGAATCATCACACTGTAAATGCCCATGGACTGGAAACCTCTGGTGAAATAGAGCATATTGGCCCAGCCAAGGGCCATTGCCAAAACAAGACACACCAGGTGTTCTTTGTAGGAAAACAAGTACAAAAAGACAGAGAAGATCACAAGCAAAGCTTGTATAAAACTGTTAAAAAACAAACATATATGTAAATTACTAGCACAAAACCAACAACAGAATGGAAAACTACAACAACAAGGTTTCTTTGCTCGTTAGGCTTAATTTGTCATTTCATGCTGATTTTGTATTCTCCCCATGAAATTGGCATTATAATTTAATGATAAAATAGGTTGGTGCAAGTGGTATAAGCATATTAACATATAAGGATTATATTTATTAAAGCTTAATTTACGTAAACTATTCTCTCCAAAACAGCTGCTCAATGCAGATTTTGCTGACAGAGACATTAAGAATCCTTACAATAGCTTAGAAGGCATTTAAGCAGCTTTAGCTTAATAAATTGATAAAATCATTACAGATTTTCCACAAACAGGGAAGAGACACTGGCAGGTGGGAAAAATCCACCCTGTGCACATCAACCCTGGTATTGTTACTGACAGTGCAGCCAACAGTTTGTGTTAAAGAAAAGCTGCAGGCAAACTTACATCCATCCCTCTCAAACTGATAATTTTGAGGAGAAAAAAAGTGACTGTTACAGGAGCACATTCTCTGTGACCATGAGATAGAGAATTTTATATGTAGTAGAAAAAAAAATATATATATACACATCAGACTTACAATGCAAAGTGGAACCAGGCATCAGAGAGAATCGACTGCAGGTCTGAGGGCCTGAGCAGGAAGATGGCCACACTCTGTGCAGGCAGAAACAGAAAATACAGGCATGGTGGAAGAGAAAAAAGACCTCAACACCTGTTTTTCAAAAGAATTTAACTGGTGTTGTCAACTAATCCATCTGATAATTCATTGAATTAATTTTTTTATAGGGCTGTAAATTCAAAGGTTAAAATTCTCTCATCTCTGCCATAATTTAAGTTACTGGTTTTAATTACTTACAGTACATGGCAAAGTTATAGAATGGGATTTTTTTTTTCAATACAACTTGCAATTCTTTTGCCCTGAATGCCAATAATTGGACAATATTGATATTATACAAATATCAGATCTCTGCATTGACAATTTGAAAAGCAAACATCTTCATATTTGTTTCACAGTTGTACTCAAATATATCACCAGGGTCATTCTGAATAAGTGATTGTGCCCAAGATTTGAACATCACACATATCAAAGATCCTCCATGTGTATTGCCAATATCAGCAGCAGCATATCCATAAATTTAGAGAAGTTCTTTACAAATTAGCTGTATATATGTTACTTAAAGAAAAAAATATATCTTACCTCTTTTATGGCTAAAAATATTGCTCCTAACATAACCATCACCTGTCCTGACAACTGCAGCCACCCCACTCCTCGAGTCAGAGCCAGTGGATAAGGAGGAGCCTGCAAAACAAATCCAGAAAGAAAATCTCAGTTCCAACCCTGAAGGGTAAAAGGCAAAGCAACAGAAATCCTCACACCTGTAACTCTCTGGGTTCACAATTTCTTCCCTTCCAGGGAGAATTTTCTTGATGTATTTACACAATCAGCCCCCTAACAGAGGTGTTTGAAATACCAGAAGTTTATTTCTGAAAGGAAAAACAAAATACACTCTTCCCACCTTTGGAAATTTCCAATCTTTCTATCATGTATTGGTAATTTAGGTCACTTCCACAAAATGCAAATCTGATGCTCCCACATTGATGTGGGAGAACGTGGCCTCTCTATACCCAGATATCCCAATATCTGCTCTTATTTTAGCATGTTAAATACAATACAGGAAATACTATTGCCTTTTAAGTCAGTAAAATTGGCTGAGATTCAGCTGCTGTACTCACTTCATTTTCATTAGGCCTGTGGTAGGAAACCAATGTTAACGTTACATTGTACAGGAAATAAAAACAGCAGGACATGAAAAACATGTGCCGTGCAAACTTCTTCCATTTCATCCTCAGGAGTGAGTTCAGAGGCTCCAAAGTCAGCATTTCGTGACGATTCTGAGGAGGGAAAAAAAAA